GGGAGGCCGGGCGAGGCGCGCCGCCGCCCGGGGCGGGCGTGTTTACCTGGAAGCAGGAATACATGTTGCCGGGCGCGAGCCCCGTTTCCACAGTCCATGCCGCCCGCGTTCTCCGCGGGGCGCGAGCCCGACGCCTGCAGGCCCGGCGGCGGTAGGCCTCACCCGCGGGGCGCGGGGCCTGCTAGGAGCCGGGGGAAAATGGCGGGAGAAGGGTCTATTCCGGGTAGGGCCGCGCGCCGAGGCGCCGGCAGAGCCCGGGAGGCGGCCCGCGGGGACGAATTTACTTTCGTTTCCGGAGCCAGCCAGCTGCGCCTGTTAAGTTTTTAAATTTAGCGCCAGGCCGAGGCGGCACGAGTGGTGGCGCGTCGCCCGCCGGCAGGGGAAGGGTCGCGGCCTCTCCCCTCCGCGGCGCGGCCAGTGGTAGGTGCTCACCGAGGGCGCCGAGTGACGCGGCGCGCGGGGCGGCCGCCCTGGGACGCGGAGGCGGGAGGGGTAGCCTCGGCCCGCGGAGGGGTGGCGCGGCCGGCCGGGAGGTTCCCAGGGGCGAGAGCCGGGGAGGCCGGGTCCCCGGGGAGCGGAGCCCCAGAACCGAGGAACCGCCATCCCCGGAGGGCTGGAGGATTCGCGCACACCGAGCAGGGAGGAAGAGCCTGCGGCAGGTCCATGTTTAGGGCAACAGCTCTCCTATCCTAAGCCTGATGTCACTCTTCTCAGTGTATCTTGCTCATCAGTTGCGTTCTGCTTTGGAATTAATGCCGTAACGCGTTGTAAGCAGTCCTCAAATTGGGTTTAGCCTTCACCACTAAACAGAAGTGTACAATTTGAGGCTCAAAATACGAATTTGTTATTTTGGAAGACTCTTAGTAATGAGTTAAAAATTACATTTGAAAAGCGTTGTTTAGAAAGAGCCGTGAAATTTGGGGATTTAAACTTCGAAAAATAAAATTTTGTTTGAAAAAGTGGTGCCTGATACATGGTTTTTAAAAGGAAGATAATAAATGCATCTCTCATACTTTAAAGAAAAATAGGTCTCCCTCCTCCCCCAGATCCCCAATCCCCCTCCCCAGATCCCTAGTCCCCCTCCCCAGGGGCAATTACTGTTAACAGTTTCTCGTCTGTTCTTCCAAAATTTTTCCATGCACATACAAGTCCATGTCTTACTTTTTTGCACAAGTGTAAGAATAGTATTACATAACTTTTAGTGCACTTCACTTTTCTTGAAGACAGTTAAATCTGGCAGTACTAGATCTCGGCCTTCTGAAAAGGGTTTTAATTTCAATTCCATTCCCCGTGGGGGGTGGCAAATGCAGTTGAAGTCAACTGCAGAACACACCTCTCTGGCTGAGGAGGGACATCCAGGTGCCAACGCTGGAACAGGCAACAGATTAGTATTTCTCTGATCTCTTTCCTCCCCCAAGATTATACCATGGGAAGAGTTATGGTGTGTAAGCTAAATCCCCAGGCACACCATAATCATTACTAACAGCTACAAGAGAAACGTTACCCACAGTTCCCTCGCTCTGACATGCAGAGTTGTTTTCATTCTTCTCTGATCCTTTCCAGCCGTTGGCTTTATGAATATGTATTTGTTATGTGGTTTTTTTCACGGAGTAAAGACAATTTTGTCTGCTTTTCTCCCTTAACATTGTATAAACATATTTTCCATGGCATCCAGAATATTGTTAATGGAGACATTATTTCACACTGCTAATGTACCAGGGTTACTTAACCATTCCCTAGTGCGCAATATTTAGGTTATTTCAGCCTGTTATTATAAATAATGCTTCAGTGCATACTGTCCATGGACTTGGTGAAGTTCAAAGAAAGGAACTAGATGTACACGTAGCAACATGGATGCTTCATATCAAGAGAAAAAAAAAGTTAGATGCAGGACTAGATTTACAGCAGAATATCAAGTAGATAAATTAAAAATACACATACAACAACACTCTATCTTTTTTTTTTTAAGGTTTTATTTATTTATCTGACAGAGCAAGAGAGCATAAGCAGGGGGAACCGTAGAGGGAGAGGGAAAGCAGGGCTCCTGCCAAGCAGGGAGCCTGATGTGGGGCTCGATCCCAGGACCCTGGGATCATGACCTGAGCCGAAGGCAGACACTTAACCATCTGAGCCACCCAGGTGCCCCATCACTGTATCTTTTATAAGGATACATGCACCTTTAAGACCATGTATCAAACACATAAGGAATGGTCTTCAAAATGGAGGGGAATGGGATAAAGGACAGATAAGGAATGAGGGGGCAAGAAAAATCATAAGAGGGACCAGTGCGCACATGGGCAACTGTCAACTATGTTTTATGAATGAGAGTATAATTAATTCTCTGACATTTAGGTCCAGGGACAAAAACTTTTTTTTTTTAATTTGTTGCAGCAAACATTTCTAAAAAATTTCCTTTATCCACTTAAAAAATTTATTTTAGTACCTTCTTGGAAGGCATACCAGTGGTGATACAGGAAAACAACTTGTCCTCGGGGTAAATAAAGTCCAAGGTATTAAGCTTGGAACACAGGGACCTTGAGATCTGGTCCTCACTTGCCCCTCCAGCCACACTTCCCACTGCCTCCCACCCTGTCCACAGTCTGGCCACGAGGACCTGCCCTTGTCACATCTAGCACTTGACACGGTTCCCAGTTCCAGGGCTCCCCTGCCCCCCTCTCCCCCCCCCACTAGCCTCATTCCTTCACCTTCTCTCTCACCCTCCACCACTGGTTGGCCAACTCTTACTCATCCACCAGGGGCGCCTGGGTGGCTCAGTCGTTAAGCGTCTGCCTTCGGCTCAGGTCATGATCCCAGGGTCCTGGGATCGAGCCCCGCATCTAAACCCCTCATCGAAACCCCGCATCGAGCCCCGCATCGGGCTCCCTGCTTGGTGGGAAGCCTGCTTCTCCCTCTCCCACTCCCCCTGCTTGTGTTCCCTCTCTCGCTGTCTCTCTCTCTCTCTGTCAAAATAAATAAATAAAACCTTAAAAAACAAAAAAAGAACTTACCCACCAGGTCTTAGACAATTCCTTCTCTACAGCACTTCTCCTGCTGCCCCCCAACACTTCCCCAAGAATGAGTGAGATGCCTCCAGTCTTCCCAGTTATGTCACTAGGTAGTGGAGCCTAATCCTCCTTCAGTTCCTTGAGGAAGGACAGCATCTTGTAACTCACCACTTAATCCTCAAAAAATAACAATGGCTTTCTCTCAGTACTAACTGTGACAGCACTGTGCTAAACACTTAACTCAGATGATCTCTTTCCATCCTCCACAGCCTTAAGGGGAAGTATTAGTGTGATCCCCACATTTTACAGAGGAAGAATGTAAAATTTAGAGAGATCAACTAATTGCCCAAAATGCCCAATCAACAAGTGGCCGAGCAGGAATACCAACCCAGAAACAGCTCTTCATCTTCCCTCCCTCCTTCCCTGGTGTCCAAGCCTAGGGCAAAGCTTACCAGCACAGCATGAGCTTAGCATGGATCTTTTGAATAAACATGTATATGGATAGATAGGCAGTTATGACACAGTATGGCTTGTGGTATTCTTAAGTTTGACAAATAAGAACAAGTTGATTACACCCAGTATACCATAAAATAGTCCACAAATTAATTTTTGTACTAGTCACACTAACATGCAAAGAGACAAGCAGGTCATTCGCCAAAGAACAAGAAACAACAAGTAGAGAATCGAGTGAAGAATCATAGAAGCTCCTCTAAATGCCAGAAGCAAGAGATGTTCGTTTTCTAGTTTAAAAAAAAAAAAAAAAAAGAAAGGAACTGGGCGGAAAAAAATAAGTTCAGAGTCAAAGGACCTTTAGCAATGCTTAGTGGTGGCCAGAGCAGAAAAAGTTCTAAGGGTAGAGAAAGGATTTTTCTCTCTCAGAGATTATTAAAAACTTATGAGAATGCTTTTTCCAAAACAAAATGCAAATGAAAAATTGCATTTATCATCACTTTTATCATAAGAAAAGATCGTTGCCTTGTTTTTGTCTTGTTGCCAAATGTTCATCTTAGTGACAACAGAGAAGGCAACATCAAGCATAAGCTGGGGAGGGGAAAGGGATCAGCTCTCACAAGAGCCAATTGTTTAGAAAGGGGACCAAAGAGTACTAGTGAACCATCCTTTCTGGGGAGAATATTTCCTTTATGTTCACTCTCTTAACCCACCCAACCTAAAAGTGGATTGTGCTTGTTGCAAAGGGGCAGTGGGCACACATAAACCAGTGAGATCTGCCAGTTCTGGAATAAGAATGTGCGAAACCAAGGCAGAAGAAAAATTATTAAATTTCCTAGAGCCCACTGACAAGTCCTTGAAACAGGAAGAGTGACACTCCCCTAGGGACTCAACTGCCTCCCTGTTAATACTTTGCTAAGGGCAAAAGGCAATTCTAGTCTC